TTTTTTTTATGTGGTAAATCCAATTCGATTCATTCGCAAGGACAATCTTTGTTTGATATTCATTATCTTGAGGGTGTATCATGTGGACGAATATCTTTCCAATTTGAATTTCCATTTATGGCGCTTTCCATATTCAACCCACTTTATCGATTAGAAGGTGGGGTGCATGATCACGTGACAACAACAAATTGCGTTCGGCCGTAAAAGCCCAATTTTAAATAGGGAAAGCGGAAAGGAGGAAACTTATTTTTTTTTTTTTTACAATGAACCAAACGACCGACCGTCACAACGATTGAATTTTTTAGGTGTGATAGCTGACGGCTGTCATTCAAGAAGCAGGCAAGCACGCATGCAAACAATCCTCGATTGAGAGGAGTTCAAGGCGCGCGAATGTTGCGATGAATGATGCCACGCGAAAGTCCTTCTCTATACACGTGGCCCTTTTTTTATTTTTTGCCAAGATTTGATTGGCCGATTTAAAAACGAGATTTTTTTGAAATAAATCCATCATTGTAACATTATATCATCTCAAATTCTACATCCGCCCTCTTTGGCATAGTGTTGAGATGTGTTTCAGACGCGTCAATGCACCATTACGTCATATTAGAGGACCTTAACTCCGATAAATGAATTATTCTTTGAGCAATATATGTCGTACGACAAATCTAATAATTCAATGAGGACTTTTGTGGGCATGTCAACGTTATATATACTGTTATATACTGTATGTACAGTATATACAGTATATACAGTATATTCCAAAACCCCTCATCTTGGTTTGTTTCTTCTTTTGGTCATCTCAATGTAGCACCATCCCATTTCGACATTATCTTAACAATAGGATCGACTTACCACGCAGTGGTGTGCATTCACAAAATTGGAATATTTACGACCGTCAATTGATGCGCTCAATGGTTAGGACCATTCGCCCCGGAGGTCAAAGTGCGCAATCATCTCAACTCTTGAACATTCGAGTCTCGTGAATGAGATCAATGGTAAACGATCGCGAGTGGTCGCGAAACGCACCACACGCTCGAGGTCAACTGACGCACGCGAGTGACTAACCGGATTTTTCTTTCATTGAGTATTTGAAACAGTGAGAAAATTTATGATTTGGTACGAAAGTTTTTTATATTACATATTTAGCAAGAAATATAACAATTCGGTAGAGGTAATGAAGATTAATTTGGAGATTTTACAAATAGTACGGGGAAAAAGGAAATTACAAGGATTTTTGAGGTTTTATATATACATAGATGTATATAGAAAAAAAAGAATTCTAGAAATTAATTGAACATAGGTTTTTTCGTGTAGAAATAAATTAATTAACTGTTGAGATCTGATTTTTTGAATGCTTAACTAATTAAAGTTATTGCTCTTGTTAATTTTCTGTCGTTTACTATTATTTTCTTGTTGGTTTTTCAATAACACCATGCTGATTACTGTAAATACATACGCAGATATATATTGGGGTTTTTTTTCAATTGTCAGTGTTGATCGCTCTCCGCCTTTTATATATGCTAGCTACTTAACGTATCTTGAAATTATATGAACAAATGTTTTTTGGAAAAAAAAAAAAAAGGTTTCTTAAAAAAAGGAAGCGAGTTGCACAATAATAGCGTGCATTCTTCATTCCCGCGACACGAACGGTGCCACAATATGTACACCTCTCTCGGAAACGCAACCTGTTTCCGCGACTACCCCAAATATATATATTCTTTTTTTTTTTTTTTTTTTGTTATTGATCAAAGTCTCGCCAACAAATAAAATAAAAGAGAAAAAGAAAATTCGACAAAAGAATAGACACATAAAATTTGAATTCGAA